TATTTGCTAGTATGCGATACGCACGTACCTTTTCGTATATGTACCTGGCCGGGAAATCGGTCTTTAGCCAGTTGTCCGGGTTCTTGTCCTCGTAATCGTAAGTCAAGCCATACGACTCCTGCACCTGGTAGTCCTCATTGTTCCCCGCATAGATGATGATGGATGGGTGATGTCGCAATCTGGTGACGTTGGCAGTGCACTCTTCCTTGATTGATCGCAAGATGTCCGGAAAGGCGGGATAGTTGCCGCACCCAAACATGAAATCTTGCCACACAAGGACACCGAGTTCGTCGCAGAGCTCGTAGAATATGTCTTCTTCCCAGATGCCGCCGCCCCAGATTCTGATCATTATTTGATAGCCATCGACCATCATCTCGAGCCATTTACGGTACTTCTCCTCGGTTACGCGGGGAGTGAATGAATCCGCGGGGATCCAATCCGAACCGCCACAGAACACATCGACGCCATTGACACGGAAGTAGAAGCTTTTGCCAATCGCATCCGGCTCCTGAATGAGTTCGCCCTTCCGGAATCCTGTTCGCCGTGATATCTGATGAACGTCTGTGCCATTGGCAAGGACCGTTGCAGTGACAGTGTACAGCGGCTGCTCGCCATAACCGTGCGGGTACCACAACTTGGGACTGCTGACATGGAAATCCACTTTAGCAATGCCGTCGCTTATCTTCGCAGTCTCTCTGAAGACACGTTGATCACCATCGTATACATCAAAGCTGACGCTATCCGCCGAGTCGCCCTCAACGGTCGCAGAAATGGTTCCTTGGACGGATTTGAGGCTATCGTCAAGCTTGTAGTCCACTCTCAGGTCTTTTGCTCGTGCTTGATAGGTCTCCAGTCGCACTTCGCGCCACGGACCGCAAGTGTTCAAGATCGGTCCCCAGTCCCAGCCCCAATGATACTGGGCCTTCCTCACGGCAAGCCTTGACATGTCGCCGTTGAATCCGATCCATCTGTGGTCCGGATACATCTCCTTGATCTTGATGGCTTCAAGACGTGCGGAGGCGAAGTTGATCTCCAAAGTGTTAACGCCGTCGGAGCTGAGCTTCTTAGTCACATCAACTCGATGCGGGACGAACATGTTGTCGCTCTTCAGGATAGTCTCTCCATTGAGCTTGACAGTAGCGAAGGTGTCGAGACCGTCAAATGCGAGTACATGTATAATGCCTTCCTTCGCCTCCGGTACCTTGGGCAGCTCGACTTTGTAGGTCCAAGTCTTGTCCGCTACCCATTCTGCTTCAAGTTCATTGAAGCCCAGGAAGGGATCTGGAATCCTAGTCTTCGTGTCAGTTCTTCCAAGTTCATGAAGACTTTGGAATGTGAAACGTACTTCTCATTGTCCATCAGGTCCAGGTGAACATTCGTAGGGACCTTTTTGACTGGCATCCACGCATCCTTAGCAGAATCATCACCCTGCTTGAATGTCCATCCTTCCGACAAGACGTGAACACTCAGAGCCTGTGCTTTCGCCATGATGGTCGTCGTTCAAGATGGTGGTAGTCGATCAAACTCGTGACAGCAGGACGTGGCTGTCTGTGAACTACCAATTGGCGGGGTAGCTTCAAATGAGAGAAGAGTACCGTCCTCTTGAATGACGACTGGAGACCTCAGCCATACCACATCAGACGTTTCACCACTCCGGAGCAAGCAGTGCCGCGTTGAGCTCCATCTCGCGCTTAACGTGGTCAAGAAAGGAAGACGGAGTACCTGCTCCGCGCCCAAAGCAGCTAGCGCGATACCATTTGTGGATCTGACGTCGGAAGATGCGGTCTTGAGCCGCAGTTCAGCCGTCCAGCGGCCACGAGGTGCAGGTATAGACGGCGAGTTGCGAGATGGTAGCGGTCCTGGTCGCTCCGTGTCGAATGCAGAAGTTGGAAGTGTTGTGTAGGATGGGAGAGGCGCAACGGCAGTGTTCCGGGTGGTGCAGCCCCACGCGGTGTGGGATGGTGCCGGCGTCGTGCAACCTCAGGATTGCTTCTTTGACAACGGAGGTGAATGGGCTGCCGGCTTTCCGGGGCGGCATATGTAAGCATGCAGTAAGCCTTCGGCGGCCAGGTAGTTAATGTAATGGGGTGTTTAAAGAAGAATTCGTACAAAGACAAAGGGTATAGAACTATCCGAATATCAGACGACAGCAACCACCAGAGCTATCCAACCTTCAACTACCAGCAACAGCGGAGCTTCCAGACCCTTTCTGACCATGTGCGACCGCATTGCTACCAAAAGTATGAAGCTGAAGCAGCAGCTACCACAGCCGAGACGAACGCGAGCAAGCTGCCGTCATGTCGGGAGATCCCCGACGCAGCGCTTCTCCGGACCTCGTCACTCCTGGCCTCGTTCATCATCATCGTGGTCTGTCTCTCCACCCTCCCATTCTGCGCCAACGCCAGCATCTTATCTCGACTCGTCGCAAGGATGGTTGTGGAACGCGCACCAGGACAAAACACGACTTCGAAGCCGGCGCCAGAGGGGATGATGAAGGTAGAGAATTGGTCGTCGAATGCTGTTGCGGCTGTTAGTCATATTCATTCTAATTGTTCAGTGTGACTGAACGTACCATAGCTGTATGCATCCGGACAGACGGCCTTGACGTTCTTGGAGTACTCGCTCGGTTCGCATTTGTTGGGTGAATTGTATTCGCCTGTGCAGCAGTCCTTGGGCTGGTTGTTCTTCGCGCATGCGGAGAAGCATGGGTTGAATTGTGGCCGTTGGATGTTGTCGTCAGGGTACGGGTATACGCCGTCGCCAGGCTTCTCGGGAGGACTCTGCTGTAGATCCCATGGACACCATTTGGAGATCTTATTCTCATCTACGTCCTGGTCGAAGGAGAGTGGATACGAGGTATTCGTGCGGAGGAAGTTGGGAAATTCTGGGTACGGGTTGTAGCCCTGGGTAGCCAGGAGCCCGTCTGTGCCTTGACATGACGGGTTGGTGAGGTTCGGAGGGATGTCGTCGAGCGTCACGTTGTCCAGCGGCTGGAGGACAATTGCCATAGGGACATTGTAGCCATCGACAAGCGAGATGTCGTAGTATGTGTTTCCGTCTCCGGCGTCCAACGTGAATTCGGCGAGCGAAACGGGTACGTCTCCCTGTGTCTGAGTCAGCGGGAGTCGATTGGAAGGCGGTAAGGGTATGACATACTCCGACTTGACAGTTCAAGGCGCCATTACAGTCGCCAGATGTGCAAGCCTTTCCACGACCCGATGCAGCAGCAGTGCCATCGTCGTTGAAGGTGCAGTTTGTTCTCCCCCAGACTCGACCCTGCCAGTCCTCTGATACAGTCTGATTCCTCGTCTCTCCGGGTTCAAGCTTGAAGCCAGTCTCGCCTGGACCTGTGCCGGACTGCGTTCCAATACCAGGCCAGATGGGCTCGGGACACTGGTTCGTCACCAGCAGGGGTGTGATGTCCAGCTTCCTTCGATTGGTCTTCCAGGGTGACTTAAATGCCATGTGGTGATTGGGCCCCATGTGATGAATGGCGTCGGCCATAGGCAGCGCGCTCAGGCAGAGGAGGGTGCATAGCTGTGCGATAGAGAGGCGGTTTATAGACCGGGTATGATCCCTGTTGGACGTAACAGCAGACATGATGGGCTGTGACTGCGCACGGCGCATGCGCAATCACAGAATAGGTCTTCGTAGTGAGGAATGGTTGCTAGATATGTGATGCGAGGGTGCAGATCTGCTGAGCTTCGTCGCAAAGGTATAGAGATGAGCGTAAGGTTGTGAGGACTTTGAAGATAAGGCTGGGAAAGGTGGTGAGGTGAAGGGCCGGGGCCCTGCACCGCAAGCAAGGCACATATCCAAGGATTGGCTGTTGTTGGCTGCAGTGAAGAAGTCGCGACTTGGTATCCGTCAGTGACGCAATGTCGTGTCCCTGCCCCTGGCAGACAAGGGTCCAGCAAGGCTGACGGACAGCCTCACAGCCTGTCATTGGCGTCCACGCCATGGCTTTCCAAACAACGGGCCGATGAGTTGGTGGCTTGCTTGATGGTTGCATTCTCTGAGATAGGCATCTGATAAGATGTCTGGGTCTCGGTCGTTGAGCGTTAGTCGACCTTGTAGAGATGTTCAGTCTTATCGATTAGTCTTGCTACTGCCCTCTACAAAAAAATGCAAATGCGACTCAGGCACCCAGATGGCTTCGCAACAATGCAAGCTGCATTCGGGTTCTCATTGGTAGCCATGCAACGCGTGAAGCATGTGAAAGACGTGAAGGCGTGACCAAGGTACGCCGGATTGTGTGGCGCACTAGATCCTAGAAAGGTCCTTCATGATGGCAATATCAATGGACGTAGGACTTTACGTCGACCTAGAAATTATAGACTGATTGAGATGCTGTGCATGCAAAATAATGCGATGGAATTCTGTCATCCCCTGGGGCGTTAGGCGTCAGGCGTTGTCGACATGCAAACCACGACCGAAAGCATCCGGGCAGCGAAAGCGTTCGGACAACGAAAGCGGACAACTAGAACATCAGTGATCCGACTATGGGCATGAGCAGAGCGCTACAAGAGACCGAGGCCAATCAGCGCATACTACGGCGAATACCAGGCGAGGGGAAATTGCATCTCCTATTCGCGGTCTGAGATTTCGTGGTGGCATCTCGGAGGTGGAAGCGCACGAATGCCGGTCTCGCCACCATTAGCTGCGGGTGGTGAGATCTGCGCATCTCTTGGCTCTCCTGACAATTGACTGATTGCTACATTACTCTCCGTACACTCCCGCGGTTGTATTGTTACTCTACCGCGCATCCTCCCACCCTATACGCTCCTTCTCTACATCGTGCTGTTTTCCACTGCGCCGCAGCTTCTCTCCTCTGGCACCGAATTAGTGTCGCCACGCAACCGCAGCTATTCACCACACCGCCGAGACCAGTGTTTGAAGATACACCGCTGGACACATATAAACAACCCTCGCCAGTCCCATTCCTACGTACCGCAAACAACCCACCGCCGAACATAGACTTGATGTCTACAATCACCACAATGCCCGGCCGCACCCTTCCGACGATTCCAACCGCCGAGGTGCGCGCGCACAACAACGAGAAGTCCTGCTATGTCACGATTGGCACCAAGGTCTACGATGTTACCGACTTCCTTGATGGCCATCCCGGTGGCCCCGAGTTCATCCTGGAATATGCGGGCAAAGACATCGAGGCAATCCTGAAGGACGAGATCTCGCACACCCATTCCGATTCCGCATATGAGATTCTTGAGGAGAACTTGGTGGGCTTCATGGTCCCCGAAAGTCTCCTGAATGGCGTAGTCAAGAGCTCGAATCCTGCAGATATCGTGCCTCTGCCATCTTCCGAGGTTGGCAAGCTGGAGCTCAAGGGCATGGAACAGGACGGCAAGCCGCTGTACGAAGCAACCGGCATGTCATCTGCGGAAGATCTTTCAAGACCGACGGACCCGAACCAGGACTACAAGCAGCACAAGTTCTTGGACCTGAGCAAGCCGCTTCTGATGCAGGTCTGGAATGGTGGATTCAGCAAGGACTTTTACCTACAGCAAGTGCATCGCCCGCGCCACTACAAGGGAGGCGACTCCGCGCCGCTGTTCGGTAACTTCCTGGAGCCCCTCAGCAAGACGCCGTGGTGGGTCGTGCCATCGCTCTGGTGGCCCTGTGTCGCGTATGGAACAGCCGTTGCGTTTGGTGGACTATCCTCCGCGACGGAACTTGCTGGGTACTGGGTCTTTGGGCTGGGATTCTGGACCATTATCGAATACGTCCTGCACAGGGGATTGTTCCACTTGGACGAGTAAGCACTCCCCATCCACATGGATTCATCTTGTACTAACAACAAGCAGCCACCTCCCCGATAACCGCGTCGCGATCACCCTCCACTTCTTGCTCCACGGCATTCACCACTACCTTCCCATGGACAGATACAGGCTCGTCATGCCACCTACACTCTTCGCTGTCTTGGCGGCACCGTTCTGGAAGTTCGCACACGCGATCATATTCTGGAACTGGTATGCCGCTCTGGCTGCCTACTGTGGTGGTATCTTTGGCTACACCTGCTACGACATGACACATTACTTCCTCCACCACCAGAAGTATGTATACCCATAGATCACTATGAAGGACCTCGCTAACAAACTGAAGGCTACCTCCCTACTACCAGCAACTCAAGAAGTATCACCTTGCGCACCACTTCGCCGACTACCAAAACGGTTTCGGTGTCACCAGCCGCTTCTGGGACCGCATCTTCGGCACTGAGCTTGAGATGGGACCCTCCAAGGTCATCAAGTCGACTTAGATGGCGACGTACGAATAGACTTTTGTTATTAGACACCCACCTGTCACCACGTTGTCAAGACCGGCATTGAAGAAGGCGTTCAGCGGGTCTGCAGGGCCATTTTGGGTCGATGCAGCTTTGATGTTTGTAGATAACTTTATGACTCACTACCTCAGATAATAGTAATGCCAACAATCACTTCACTTCTGTTCTGTTCACCTTTCTTCGGTCACTGCCCATTTCCCTGTTGCGCTCATGGCGGCAGTCACCTCCGCACGTAACTTGCTGCCTATTAGTCACACGGACCCTGCCAAGGCCCCTCGAACTTTTCAAGTTATCACGCCCAGGCCTGCCTCTCCACTTTCCACTCACCCACCCATTAACACGTCGTGCTGCACGAGCAAAGCTTCAATCAAGCACCCATTTGTCAAGTGCATCTCGGTCAAGAGGTCATTCGGCAAGCGCCAGCAGTATTATTTTCTACGTCCGTTCGATATCGCAATTGAAATCAATACTTGAGCCCCAGCTCGCCATCACAACAACACATCGCCCATTGCAGTGACATCGCGCATCACTTCCACCAGCTACGCTTATCGAGAGCTAGGAACCGCCAACGACGTCGCCATGTCTACCCAAGCCGCAGTCGAGGCCCTCCTCGAGGAGACCGCCCGCGAGGTCGAGATGAAGGACGCCGAGCGCAAGCGCACTGCCAGCAGCGAGGCGCGCGACACCGACAGCCGCCGCGACGACCGCCACTCAGATCGCCGTGACCGCCGTGATAGGAGCCGAGACCGTGGGGACCGTCATCGTGAGTCCAATGGAGATCGCCGTCGCAGCCGCGATAGAGACCACCGCCGAAGAGACGGAAGCCGTCCCCGTTCTAGCAAAGGTGCTGACACAGATGAAGACCGTGATAGGCTCCGCCGCAGCAGCTCGCGCGACCGCCGTGGAGGTCGTGGAGGCCGTGACCGCGGAGGCGACTTCTACAGCGGTAGTGGTCGTCCGCGTTCCCGTTCCCCTCGCGACCGTGGCAACGATAGGTACCGCGAGAGGTCCCGCGACCGTCGCCGCAACGGTGGTGATGACCGTCGCAACAGCCGTCGCAACAACACCCCGCCCAAGCCAGAGGTCACCGAGGACGACCGTGACAAGCGCACCATCTTCGTCCAGCAGATCTCCCAGCGCGCTGAGATGCGCCACTTGCGCAGCTTCTTCGAGCGTGTCGGCCCTGTTGTCGAAGCTCAGATCGTCAAGGACCGAGTTACCGGCCGTAGCAAGGGGTGAGTACTCACTTCTCCGTTCCTCATACACACATGCTAACATCCGTCCAGTGTCGGCTACGTTGAGTTCGAGGCTGAAGAGTCTGTCCCTCTTGCACTGGAGCTGACTGGCCAGAAACTGAAGGGCGTCCCCATCATTGCCCAGCTTACTGAAGCCGAGAAGAACCGTGCTGCTCGTCCTTCCGAGGGCGGTGCTGCACCCGGTGCCAACGGCGCCCCCTTCCACCGTCTCTACGTCGGCAACATCCACTTCAGCGTCACCGAGAAAGATCTCCAGGAGATCTTCGAGCCTTTTGGTGAGCTTGAGCAGGTCATCCTCCAGCGCGATGAGTTGAACCCTGGCCGCTCCAAGGGATATGGTTTCGTTCAGTAAGTCGTCTGTTCATGTTCACTGCGACATCATTTGCTAATACATCACAGGTTCGTTGACCCCTCGCACGCTAAGAATGCTCTCGCAGAGATGAACGGTTTCGAGCTCGCCGGCCGCCAGATCCGCGTTGGTCTCGGCAACGACAAGTTTACCCCCGAATCGACCGCGAACCTCCTCCGTACATTCACCCAGCAGGCTCAGTCCTACCAAGGCTCTGCCTTCAGCGGTGCTGGTGGCCGTGGCGCCTACGCTGGCGGTACTGGTGGTGTCTTCGACCGTACTCACAGCAAGGACGACCGTGGCGTTAGCGGTGCCTCTGCTCTTGACGACTCTGATGTCGCTGGAGTCAACTTCAAGACCTATGACCGTAGCAGGCTCATGGACGCTCTCGCTCGCCGCGACGTCCCCGGAGACTCCAGGCAGGGTGGTCAGACTATGCCTGTACCCACCACTCGCAAGGCTCCTGCTCCAGCCCCCGCCGCTCCCATGGCTTCCAAGTGCGTCAAGATCGAGAACGTCTTTGACCCAGACGAGTAAGTCCTCGCATCTCCTCCGTGACATTCGCTAACACATCACCAGAGAACAGCGCAACTACGGTGACAACTGGAACAAGGAGCTCCAGCACGAGATCAAGTCCGAGTGTGACAAGAAGTACGGCAAGGTCGTTCACATTGCTGTCGACGCCAACAGCGAGGGTGACGTCTTCGTCAAGTTCGACTCCGTCTCCGGCGGTGAGAAGGCTCTCCAAGGTCTCAACGGTCGTACTTTCAACAGCCGCACCATCCGCGCTTCCTACGTCGTGGACAAGATCTACAACTCCCTCTGGGGTGCTGCCGCCAGCAGGTTTTAGCCGACCGGTACGTCACAATTGTCGTGGGGTGCTCGGTAGCCACTACTGCCGAGCATACCCAATCACTCATGTGTGCAGTATACCTTGATCGGTTCGTACGGTTTCTTTACGGCTCATTCTCTCGGTTCACTCTTACGGTTTCTACTCTCGGCACACTCTCACACCTCTGGTACGTACGCATGGCGTTGACGGTATGATACGACTCTCTTTCTCTCTTCTTGTTCTTCTTTTTGGGCGTTGCTTTTCAGGCTATGCTAGCGAAGGTGTACAACGTGCAGCGCTTTGGATGGTGGAAGCTGCGTTGTCAAGATCAACATGAGGGATGAACAAACGTTCAGAGGTATGATGGATGAAGGTCTTGGTGGATACTGGAAGGATAAGGTCTCGGTGAATGACGGACATGATTGTTTAGGCGGATGATGGGCGAGAGCTTGTATATGGCGTGGGACATGGCGGTGGAGGAGTGCTTACTTCGGTACGTTCTGTGAAAGGACTTCGGTCTTGTTCAGATCTTTCACTTGGTCTCAGGTCTCCTCACATACGATTGCACATACGATTGCACATGCATCAGCGACACTTTCCACGGAAGCGGAGGACTCATTGCTGCTAATAGCACATAGGACCAGCTCGTCTCTTCTTGTCTTCCTGGATGACTTGTCTGCCAATAATCATGTGTTTAGATACTCTCTTGGATCCCTCGTTACTATGGCCTTCTTGATGTGGAGAGTGTCGGATGTGGACTGGATTGATCAGGCTGTGGTTGTGGTTGTGGTTTGACCCTTCTCCGCTGCTGATCATGTTGTTGCCTGACGTCGTGATAGGTTCCGATTGTATCGTTTTGTTGTGGCTAACTAGAACTTTCGAATCGCCGCACTCTCACATTCCTGGATATTGACATCACATCGCGTCGACCATATGACGCATCGGAGTCGGTCAGGATCTGATGGCTCCCATATTTTGCTCTCTCTAGGTCCGCTAGAATAAGTCCCATGTGTCGCGTCGATGAGCATATATGACTTCACGCGGTTGTCCCGTTCCATGTGTTGTCCTTCTGGAGCATCGCATCAACAAGGCCGCGGAAAGTTGAGTCCTCTACCTAGGGCGACCGATATTTCACGTCTGCCGCGGTGGCTCATCTGCATTCACCGGCTAGTGACAATTCCCAACGTTTGGCCTCAGCGACGTATACTTTATAACAGCGCACTGTAGTGACTGCTCAGCGTGGTCTGCACTAGGTGAGCAATTGATCGTAGATACCCGCTATCCTGCCATACTCAATGTCGCTTGCATGATTCTACACCAACAGTGTCGACGTGCATGGTTTCCCGCTCCTGCTGATGCACGACGGCATGACAAAGCTGGACGGGGCGGCTAGATTACTCCTAATGGCGAACGTGGTCCAATCATCAAACGAAGGCGGCTATGCCTGATTCTACAGCTCCTCCGTGCATGCATTGCTTAGTAAAACTAATCTAGTCCTAGAGCTTACGGTGGCCTTGCGGCTGTAAAATGCATGCCAACTTCGACTCCAGTCCTGCAAACGACAGCTAAAGCTCCACTGGAAGCTACCACATCCACAATGCCGATCGAACCAGAACAGCCAGACACACCAACGGAAAGGTCGATACCTAGTCATACCTCCGAAACCAGTACAGTTGTTCCTAGAATCGACCGACCATGCACGCGATGTGCATCACTCAGTCTCAGCGTCAAGAGTTTCGTGATCAAAGACGACAGACCTGCTGAGATGCGCATGTCGCTCGAGTCCCTGCGGTCAGCTAACGAACGATTTCGTCTTGGGACCCTTGGAAGCATCAGAGAGCGAGCTGCAGCGTGCCCCCTATGCGATCTTGTAGTTAGTTTCATCGAAGAAAAGAGACACGTCGTTGGCAAAGATGCAGTATGTCATTTGACCTGGGAAATGGACGGGCGCGCTCCGGGCGACACCAGGCGCGCGCAAAGAGGAAAACGGACCCGTCGACTGAGAGTCACATGGAGTGACCTATCACTTAAATCCCTCGAGGCATACTTGGTATTAGCAGCACCAATGAAATATGCGATTTCCGATCTCGATTATCCCAAGCAATTGAACAGGGAGACGCTGTTCCTCGGCCGACGCTTCGGCGCAACGGAAAGCAAGAAGAATCTCATTCGCGAGTTCTTACGACTCTGCGAAACGAATCATGACCGTCGCTGCACCCAGAAGATCGGTATCGAGAACCCTTTTCTTGAAACGCTGACGGAGCCGTACTTCGGCGTTATCGATATCGAAAACGACCGTCTTGTTCCCTTGCCATATGGGGAGACGGAGGGCCATCTCCATTTCGAGCCATATGCGGCTGTGAGCTATGTTTGGGGAGACACTGGTGCGATGGACTATCGGACGAAGATTGAGAACATTCAGAATCGAAGGAAATCTGGTGGACTCGCAGCTACTATCCGAAAGCTACCGAAAGCTCTCGCACAGAGCATTCGCCTTGTTCACGACTTGGGGATCAGGTATGTTTGGATCGATGCATTG